GGGGGGGCGCTGGGGCCGGCCGAAAGTCGAGGGCTGGGAGAGCTGGAAGTCGGGGTCACCCACCCTGGACTGGGGAACCGCTCGGGCGGAAAGAGCTTCCGGACCGCGATCCTGTAACTTCACCACGCGGGGATAACCAGAAACTTTCTTCCTCCTAAGGGAGGGTTTTAAAATTTTATTTATTTGGGAGCTCGAACTACTGGATAAAGGGGAAATTTTCTCATTAAAGTTACATCCCTGCAGTTACTTCAATTACTTGATATATGCAGAAGATGTTGTAAATTTATAGATTTAAATAGCTTACAAAGATGCCGCAGGCCCCATCAGTTAATTTCCTTAATTTATGGATTTTAAGCTACTCCTCCTAGAGAAAGAAGGCTCTGGAAGTAGGTCAGGGATCTGTGTAGCACCGCTGCCCACTCGGGCCGCCATGCTCCGGAGCCCCGGGGCTCCTAGCTCCCAGCTTGGCTAAACAGCCCCTGGCGCTGGGGGGCCCGGCCAGGGAGGCCTGCTCAGCTGTGTGGCTGACTGGCCCAGCCTCCCCGATGCTCTGCAAACCCCCCAGCAACAGCAAAGCTCCTGCACTGAAGAAGAAACGGGCTGGGGTAAGAAGAGAAGCAAATACCCAGGTCCTGCAACCTTCTGAAGTCCCTCCTAAATCCTGGCTGGGCTCACCAATGGAGAGGTTGTATGTGAGTGCCCCAGCTTCGTGGACAGAGCCTTTCCTGTCCTTTGAGGAGGGGACAAAGAAAAAAATAATACACCAGGCTTCGAGGAACAAGGACTCAGGGAAAACTTGCTTAAAGCCCTTGTGGCCCCCAGCACCCCTCCTTTTTTTTCCTAGGTGGCTGCTGGTGTGTCTTTGTTTTGTGTTCCATATGGATGAATATATACATATGAATTAAAACTTAAAAGGTCGGTTACCTACGCTGCTGTTTTAGGAAGCCACATGGCAATGTGATTAGTATTGGTATTCATGATTTAACATTTCTTTTCCCCCTAGATGAAGTTTCTAGGCTTTGCAAGGTACATGTCAAGGACTAGTATATAAATGGATTTTTATTTATTCACAACTCCAAGACTAATTGCTTCCCTTTGCCTCAAGGCCACGAGATTGGTTTTAATATGACACTTCAAAAGTATTCATAGAACTACAGAGATGCTAAGTGTCATTGTTTAAGAGACAAATCTCACCATGGTACTGATGACCCTGAAAATAGGATGTTTCCACTTTATTTTAAATTCCAACATGTTTTTTTTTTAAGAGTTTCACTTTATACCAACTATATTAAAGATGCACGGTTTAATCAAAACAAGAACTGACCATTTTGAAAGATCTTTATTTCCTTAGTACTGCCGGGGACTTTGTTCTCATATGCTGAATCCTTTTATTAAAGAGTTGAACTTTATATGTGGCATTAAGAAGAGTAAGTTTAGGTTATAATTTATTCTCAAGTGTTTTAAAATGTTAGTCATGCTTTATATCAAGAGACAGGGACATGGCCTGTGATGGTCATTTAATGAACTGTGGCATATAATGCAATGGTGATGTATTTTTTAATTGAAGATGTATAATTAGGACTGAAAACATATTGAGACATCTTGCAGAATACATCATCATCTTTCATTGCTATGGTTGGTCCAAGAGACAAAATTGGATATGAATCTAATCAGAATTTGTTCTATTGTTAAGATTTCACTGGCACAAAGCCATTATGGTTCATAAAAAGCAGATTCAGACCTGTGCTTGCTTTGATGTTACTCTGTTACCACAGTAAGCACAGGGCAGGGCAGGCAAGTCATCTCTAGGATGTAAAACCCAGGGCAAGCAAGACCTGAAGCTTCCAGATGTTTCAGGTTGGCTTCCAGTGTGATTTTGCACTTTGTCGTTATTGTTGTTTACAGGCCATGTTTAAAAATTAGGACCTTAATGAAGAGGATAAGAGCATAGCCTCCCTAACCCAACCTGCCAAGGAAGGCTGTGACTAGACCAACAGGTAAATTGACTCCCACCACCAGGCTGCACCAGAGTGAGACCCTCCTAGGCCTGTCCCTACCTCCAGACTCAGGGATGGTCCCTGTCCATGCTGGGCTTGAGCCTCACTGGCGCAGAGCTCAAAGGTCTACTTTGGAAATCCCCTTC